GTTTCCTGCGACCAAAGACGACCCGTATACACCTGTCCAGATGATTCCGAGGATCAATAACGTCCCTGCGGCCCGGTTTCTGACCATCAGACACCTCACTTATGATTTTGCAAACACATTCAAGCAGTTTGGTCCCTCGAACGAGGCGAGGATCGAATTGCAAGAATCAGACGGTATTATGCGATATCGTACACGATCACTTTGCATAGGCGAAGGACAGGACAACATACGCTAATAATGGTGGCATTTGCAATGTTGCAAGGGGTGATATTGATGGTGCATTGATTGTATTGATGGTGCAATTCTCACGTGTTGATGGAGGTAACTTGCCACTGTTGTGCTGTCTCCCGTTGATGGCGCAACGGACTCTGTTGCTAATAATACAGCCTCTGTTGATATAATACTATTTTTATGGCTTATTACGAGTCCCTGTTGCTATTAATAGTCTCTGTGGACTGTTAATAGCTAAACGCCTACTCAACATACGAAACATCTACATCTACCTCTACTCGTCGACTGCATATGGGGACAAAAAAAACTGATTTCGTTCTCCTATGTCGTTCGGTGTTGGGCTTTAATCGCATTATTATTAAAAAAAAATTACTAGCTTGCTGACCAACCTAGGAACTATACTTTTTAGACCTGGGTATACGTCCAGGATTGAAGTATATATATACACTCTCAGTGTATGTACACCAAGGGGGGGGGGTTGTACACCTCTCAAGTGTACATATCCCTGTGTGACTTAATTCTAATCATGAATAAAGAGGTAACGAAGACGTTGTTGAAACAAAGTCCCAGAATATCGTAAGTAAATAGAGAGTTCGTAAGTGAACCTACAACGTTCGTAAGTGAACATACAACGTTCGTAAGAGAACATACAACGTTCGTAAGTGAACAAGCAACGTTCGTAAGTGAGCAAGCAGCGTTCGTAAGTAAAAGCTACAACGTTCGGGACAATATATTTACATTTTTGTGTAAGTCAGAGATTAAAGGCGTGATTTGAAGCGTAACATGGATAAGAACTGAAATACATCCCAATAAAACTATTGCAAACTACAACAACAACAACATAACCCCATAACTACCTCAACCACAAAGTTTTATATATATACGATCAGAGTTGCGAACGCTTTATTTTTCTTTTTATTATCAGGGGGGGGGGGGGGGAAAGCGCCAAGCTATTACGACTATATAGCATTGGGAAAGGGGGGTCAGGATAAGGATTTGGGATGGGACAGGGTGAAAGGAATGGAATGGTGCCCAACCTCTTGCTGGACGGTCGGGGATTGAACGCCAACCTGCATGAAGCGAAACCGTCGCTCTATACCGTCCAGGCAAAGTGGTTGGGTAGTTAGATAAATCCAAAACCCTTCTCCGATTTCTCTAACTGCCGAACGTTCACATATATCACACACACTGAACGAGAAGAACGCTGGTTAAACACAGATAGAAAATTATTTTTTTTTGGTTGTGTGAACGTAAGGTCTTGTGTCTTAACGACCACCACCATTACTGCGACCATCATAAACTGCCTCTGTTTAATGAACTACGGGATATGACGAGCCTGAGGGAACCACAATCAGTCCAAGGTAATAGAAAAGACTCTAATGATGCTCATTTTCCAAAAATAAATTGGCAGTGACCACATTATATATATATATATATATATAATCTTTGGACAACACCCACCAGTGGGACTCGAACCCAGAAAGCACAACTACCTTCCAGTAGCTGGCATAACTAGTATGCTTTAACCCACTACGCCATCAGACCTTACAAAAGAAGTAGATAGTTCGAGATATATATATCTCAAACATCTCTACCTCCCGAAGGCACCAGATGAGTGAGGGGTCAGTCTGCATTTTTCGTCAAGCCACTGTCAATGTGAGAGAACTCGTGTCCAGCTTATAAGCCTATACTTGCATAAACCACAAGTGAAGATAAACAATCTTTGGACAACACCCACCAGTGGGACTCGAACCCAGAAAGCACAACTACCTTCCAGTAGCTGGCATAACTAGTATGCTTTAACCCACTACGCCATCAGACCTTACAAAAGAAGTAGATAGTTCGAGATATATATATCTCAAACATCTCTACCTCCCGAAGGCACCAGATGAGTGAGGGGTCAGTCTGCATTTTTCGTCAAGCCACTGTCAATGTGAGAGAACTCGTGTCCAGCTTATAAGCCTATACTTGCATAAACCACAAGTGAAGATAAACAATCTTTGGACAACACCCACCAGTGGGACTCGAACCCAGAAAGCACAACTACCTTCCAGTAGCTGGCATAACTAGTATGCTTTAACCCACTACGCCATCAGACCTTACAAAAGAAGTACAACACCCACTTACAAAAGTGGGTGTTGTCCAAAGATTGTTTATCTTCACTTGTGGTTTATGCAAGTATAGGCTTATAAGCTGGACACGAGTTCTCTCACATTGACAGTGGCTTGACGAAAAATGCAGACTGACCCCTCACTCATCTGGTGCCTTCGGGAGGTAGAGATGTTTGAGATATATATATCTCGAACTATCTACTTCTTTTGTAAGGTCTGATGGCGTAGTGGGTTAAAGCATACTAGTTATGCCAGCTACTGGAAGGTAGTTGTGCTTTCTGGGTTCGAGTCCCACTGGTGGGTGTTGTCCAAAGATTGTTTATCTTCACTTGTGGTTTATGCAAGTATAGGCTTATAAGCTGGACACGAGTTCTCTCACATTGACAGTGGCTTGACGAAAAATGCAGACTGACCCCTCACTCATCTGGTGCCTTCGGGAGGTAGAGATGTTTGAGATATATATATCTCGAACTATCTACTTCTTTTGTAAGGTCTGATGGCGTAGTGGGTTAAAGCATACTAGTTATGCCAGCTACTGGAAGGTAGTTGTGCTTTCTGGGTTCGAGTCCCACTGGTGGGTGTTGTCCAAAGATTGTTTATCTTCACTTGTGGTTTATGCAAGTATAGGCTTATAAGCTGGACACGAGTTCTCTCACATTGACAGTGGCTTGACGAAAAATGCAGACTGACCCCTCACTCATCTGGTGCCTTCGGGAGGTAGAGATGTTTGAGATATATATATCTCGAACTATCTACTTCTTTTGTAAGGTCTGATGGCGTAGTGGGTTAAAGCATACTAGTTATGCCAGCTACTGGAAGGTAGTTGTGCTTTCTGGGTTCGAGTCCCACTGGTGGGTGTTGTCCAAAGATTGTTTATCTTCACTTGTGGTTTATGCAAGTATAGGCTTATATATATATATATATATATATATATATATATATATATATATATATATATATATATATATATATATATATATATATATATATATGCAGAATAACCACATATGAAAAATAGAAAATGCTTGAAAAATAGAAAATAGAAACAAAATAGAAAGCATTTTCTATTTTTCATATGTGGTTATTCTGCATACTTGGATCAGTGTTTTTGTGATCATTGTTGCATATATATATATATATATATATATATATATATATATATATATATATATATATTTATATATATATATATATATATATATATATATATATATATATATATATATATATATATATATATATATATACCTTCCCCCCATTACCTTTATTCCCGTCTCTTCCCTATCACGCCGAGTTTCAAGAAATATTCCCTTGCGAAAATTCTCCTGTCCACGCCATTCCCTATCTCTCCCGTCTCTGCGAACGAACATGACACATAATGATCCCTTTCCTGTCATATTCATAGTGGACAATGGCCTACATTATAACAAAAAAAGGGGGGGAAAGGGGGGAGGGGGAGGGAAAACAAAGGTACGAACACTGGACGATGGAACAGCGTCACGGCCTCTTGTGGAAAAGAGAGGGTTTGAGACGGTCGGTATTGTTGCATTGTCGACTGCTGCCGACGGCTGGCCCGAAAGGTTAACCCGATTTTGAGGTTGTGTGCGCGCGCTGGTGTGCGTGTTAGTGCGCGCCGCAGAGATACAGACCTGCTCCTGTGCCAGGTAAGTCCTATGTTTATGGGGCAGCACAAAAGGTCCACCAGACTGTGCGACACAGTGGTTGCCAAGGATCAGGTTGGGTTACCGTTACCTGTGGCAGGTGGCTACAGGTGACGGATCTCCCAATCCTGAGCACTCCAGGTGCAAACTCTGTGAGCAGGAACTGCGGCATGATCTCCCGCACTACATCACCGAATGCCCAGTTATTAGACCTTTCAGACCAGTTGGCATGAGGTACCTGGAGCTTCGCAATTACTTTATTCACTCTCGTGTTCTTGAAGATATCTTCATTTTGTACCCAAAATTTGCCAGTGCCGGCTACTAAACATATGGCCCTGTATGACTAACCATCCTGGAAGATGGGAACTTTTAGTATCACTGCTGCCTTATTCACTCTTGTGTTGATGATATCCTCATAATGCTCCCAGAGTCTGCCAGTGCAGACTACTTATCACGTGCCTCTGTATGACTAACCATCCTGTGTGATGGGGATTTTTTTGCATCACGTAGCTAGCTTTTTAACACACGGTACTCCCCTTCATATAGTCTAGGGCAGCTGCACAAATGCACATGAAAACAATTATTTATTATTTTACACATCAGCTTTGTTCCACACACACACACACACACACACACTAGGTCACTAGGGGCCTCGTAGCCTGGTGGATAGCGCGCAGGACTCGTAATTCTGTGGCGCGGGTTCGATTCCCGCACGAGGCAGAAACAAATGGGCAAAGTTTCTTTCACCCTAAGTGCCCCTGTTACCTAGCAGTAAATAGGTACCTGGGAGTTAGTCAGCTGTCACGGGCTGCTTCCTGGGGTGTGTGTGTGTGTGTGTGGTGTGGAAAAAAAAGAAAAAAAAAGTAGTTAGTAAACAGTTGAGAGGCGGGCCGAAAGAGCAAAGCTCAACCCCCGCAAAAACACAACTAGTAAACACAACTAGTAAACACACACACACACACATACACTCACCTTATATTATCCTGTTTGGCGTCCACTTGGTGAACGAAACAGGTGAGAGATGTTGAGCCAACCATGTATCCACGCCTGCTGTATCCACACCTTGCTGGCTGTATCCATCTCCGCCAGCAGCCACTCTGTAAGTACAAGTGATTCCTCTCTTAATTACACCCACTCTTGTCATCTAGGGTGAGGGATAATCATTGAGAGTGAGTGAGAGAGAGAGAGAGAGAGAGAGAGAGAGAGAGAGAGAGAGAGAGAGAGAGAGAGAGAGAGAGAGAGAGAGAGAGAGAGAGAGAGAGAGAGAGAGAGAGAGAGAGAGAGAGAGAGAGAGAGAGAAAAAAAAATTGGTTCTGACCAGATAATGAGGCAACTAGGCAGACAGTCAGTGAGGCAGACAGACAGTGATAAAAAAAATATTAAAAGCTAAAATAATGCATGGGGTCTTTTTTTACATAAATTTATTACATAAAATACAATTTCTGTAAATACTCGTCATTGCAAAGCTTCGTTATGAATGTCAGCTCCATGACCGTCATTTTAAACCACATTTGATCATTTTTCCCCCCCCAAAAAAAGATTCAAACGTTTCGACGCTTCGAACGTTTTCCTGTTGTCGGTAAACGTTTTGACTGGTGGTGACACGCAAACGTTTCGATCCTGTATTTTTGGTCCCGGATTTGTACGTTACAATTTTTTTTCCTTCTAGTACGAGCCACGAACGTTTGTGAACGTTTAGGAACGTTTGTGAACGTTTATGACAACGTTCTTCCTACGTATCATAAAGATGTTTTAGCTTCTGCTTTGCCATTATTATACACCTATACCAGTGGACACCACCGCTGAACGAACATTAGTGGAAACACCATATGACAACAGTTTCCAGATTTTGAACCCTCCCCCCCCCTAAAAAAAAACTCGAATTGCTTTTTAAAGTATTACTAACATGTAAATATCATTAGGTTTGGATAGATATATATATATATTTTACTGAACTTACATATATTTTAAACGGATACAGAGGGCGTTGTTTGAAGCAAGGTATTGATTAATGGATAAACAGGGCGTTGTTTTACACCAGGCACTGTTTAAATGGGTAAACAGGGCGTTGTTTTACACCAGGCACTGTTTAAATGGGTAAACAGGCTGTTATTGCAAGCGAGGCACTGTTTAAATGGGTAAACAGGCTGTTATTGCAAGCGAGGCACTGTTTAAATGGGTAAACAGGCTGTTATTGCAAGCGAGGCACTGTTTAAATGGGTAAACAGGCTGTTATTGCAAGAGAGGCACTGTTTAAATGGGTAAACAGGCTGTTATTGCAAGCGAGGCACTGTTTAAATGGGTAAACAGGCTGTTATTGCAAGCGAGGCACTGTTTAAATGGGTAAACAGGCTGTTATTGCAAGCGAGGCACTGTTTAAATGGGTAAACAGGCTGTTATTGCAAGCGAGGCACTGTTTAAATGGGTAAACAGGCTGTTATTGCAAGCGAGGCACTGTTTAAATGGGTAAACAGGCTGTTATTGCAAGCGAGGCACTGTTTAAATGGGTAAACAGTGCGTCGCTTTAAACTAGGCCCTTTTCAAACAGATAAAATAGGAAGCTCTTTCAAAGCACTGCTTAACAAATTGGGAATTAGTTCACCGAGGATACACACTGTTTAAACAAGTGAACAAGCCGTGGGTGTACCGAGGTTTCACGCTGTTTAACAGGTGAACAAGCCGTGGGTGTACCGAGGTTTCACGCTGTTTAAACAGGTGAACAAGCCGTGGGTGTACCGAGGTTTCACGCTGTTTAAACGGGTAAACAGGGCGTTGGCCTCCGTTACATCGGCACTCTTCCATGGGGGCTTCTGTGGCGGATATCCACGTCACCGTGCCCAAACGGTTCCACCTCAATGGAAGAGACTCTAGCTTGGTCTTTGTTTAAACCTCTCTTGATTTGTATATCTGTGTCTGCCTGTCTCTTACATAGGTAGGTACAGGAAGAGACGACTTATCATGACTGTGTAGGCCTATATAGTGCTAATTCCTCCCACTGCTCATCTTTAAGCCTACTAATTGCTCGCCCTGGAACGCAACCCGCCAATCGGCTTACAACCAGGTCTCTATACTTACTGCTATAAGGTGAACAACGGGGGGGGGGGCGAATATGTATGGATAGGTGTCAAATTTTGTATAAAATATCTATTGTTTAATAAAACTGAGAGAAAAAGTTAGTGCCTTGAAAAAAATATGGCTTAGAATATGTCACATATGTACTTATTTATAAGCGAAATAGTGACTATAAGCAATAAGTCATATATGCTGTCTTGTGCGAGAGCAGGCTGGCGTGTATTCATATATATTATATATTATATTATTCACGCATATAGGCGTGAATAATACGCCTATATGCGTATTATTCACATATAAGCAAGTTTCTGATAAGGCAAAAACAGTCGTATTTTTATACGGAGTGGCAGGTAAGAGAGAACAAGTTGAGGCATCAACTCTCTGCTACCATCAACCCACAGACAACAACCAATAGCTAGCTATAGTGGTTGGATTTTCTTGGACTGTCAGAAAGCTTTTGATAAAGTCACCCATGATTAAGAGACTGTTGGATAAGTTGGAGAACAATGCTGAAGTAACTGGTAAGGTGCTGTAATGGATAAGGGAGTATCTAAACAACAGGAAGCAGAGAGTTACTGAGGGGTGAGGCCTCAGACTGGCTTGATGTCACCAGCGGAGTCCCGCAGGGTTCTGTACTCGGACCTATCCTGTTTCTGATATACGTAAATGATCTTCCAGAAGGTATAGACTCATTCCTCTCAATGTTTGCTGATGATGCGAAAATTATGAGACGGATTAAGACAGAAGAAGGACAACAAAGAGACTACAAGATGACTTGGACAGACTGAAGGAATGGTCCAACAAATGGCTACTAAAGTTTAACTCGAGCAAGTGCAAAGTGAAGAAGATAGGTGTAGGGAGCAGGAGGCCAAATACAAGTTACCAGATGGGAGAGAAAATTCTTCAGGAATCAGGATATCACACTAGACCTGCTCCTAAAGCCCACATCAAAACGATACCACCAGCGGCATATACAAGGCTAGTAAATTTTAGGACTGCTTTCAGAAACTTGTGAAAGGAATCATTCAGAACCTTGTTATACCACATATGTCAGACCAATACTGGAATATGCGGCTCCAGCGTGGAGTCCACATCCATACACAAAATGAAGTTAGAAAAGGTTCAGAGGTATCCCACCAGGCTATAGTGCCCAAGCTGAGGGGCATGAGCTACGAGGAAATATTGCTGGAACTGAACCTCACGACACTGGAAAACAGAAGAGTTATGGGAGACATGATCACTACCTATAACATTCTCAGAGGAATTGACAGGGTAAATATACTATTTAGTACGGGTGGTACGCGAACAAGGGGACACAGGTGGAACCTGAGTACCAGAATGAGCCACAGGCACGTTAGAAAGAACTTTTTCAGTGTCAGAGTAGTTAACAGATGGAATGCATTAGACAGTAATGTGGTGGAGGCTGACTCCATACACAGTTTCAAATGTAGATATGATAGAGCCCAGTAGGCACAGGAATCTGTCCACCAGTTGATTGACAGTTGAGAGGCGGGACCAAAGAGCCATAGCTCAACCCCCGCAAGCACAACTGGGTGAGTGCATATATACCCACACAGGTTTCACCACAGTCCCGCAGTGTCTCCTAATTAGTTCTGTTTAACGCACTTAAAATTTCCAAGTGTACCATTACACTTGATAAATCACAGCTATTGGTTACTTAACACGAGCATTGGACCACATTGCCGGCAGCACTTGGAGGGAGGGAGGGGTGTGGGAGAGAGGGAGGGGTGTGGGAGAGAGGGAGGGGTGTGGGAGAGAGGGAGGGGTGTGGGAGAGAGGGAGGGGTGTGGGAGGGAGGGAGGGGTGTGGGAGAGAGGGGGGTGTGGGAGGGGTGTGGGAGAGAGGGAGGGGTGTGGGGAGAGAGGGAGGGGTGTGGGGAGGGGAGGGAGGGGTGTGGGAGAGGGAGGGGTGTGGGAGAGAGGGGGGGTGTGGGAGAGAGGGAGGGAGGGGTGTGGGAGGGAGGGAGGGGTGTGGGAGAGAGGGAGGGGTGTGGGAGAGAGGGAGGGGTGGTGGAGAGAGGGAGGGGTGTGGGAGAGAGGGAGAGGTGTGGGAAAGAGGGAGGGGTGGTGGGAGTGAGGGAGGGGTGTGGGAGAAAGGGAGGGAAGGGAGTGAAAGTGGATGGAGGTAAGAGAGAAGGGACCATTATCAAATTACCCAACTTGATAATGATCCAAGACAGACCGAAACGTCGTCGTCGTCGTCTCCTCATCTTCTGACGAGTGGTTTGGTCATCAGATCTTCAGCCACGTTATTGTGACTCATCGTCTGCGATGATTTAGGACCCGAGGTCCACACACACACACACACACACAGTGTTGACACTTCAGACTCGTCTGGTGTTGTCTCGAACTACTGAAGAAAGATTTATCCGTCTGCTTCTTCCTCTCCTTTATGTGTCTTCAAGTTTATCAATATCTATTCATCCACATCTTTGTTTATTTGCAAGAATAGGTACGTAGCTAAGTAGAGATAGATAAAATAGATAAGTACGCATGTAGTTTGGGTGAGGTGGGGGGGAGCACCTAATTGTGCTTGTGGGGGGGATGAGCTTCAGCTCTTTGGTCCCGCCTCCTCAACTGTCAGTCAATTGATGTAAAGGTTTAACCTACAATAGTCCATAGCAGCAAGGGCATTGCTGTATATGGTGAGCCCGTCGTACTTACCTGGCACAGGAAATGTGACCCGCCTTGTTAAAGATACAAGGACACAAGGTATCCCCTTGTGCGAGTACCACCCGTGTTATAGAGTCTGCCTTTATCCATTCCCCATCAATTCCTCTGAGAATTTTGTATATGGTAATCATGTCTCCCCTAACTCTTGTGTCTTCCAGCGGCGCAGACAAGGTAATATACATATAAACATGGGTAGGTGTACCTGCTTCCCTTACACTGAAAAAAATTACTGAAGAAAAAATTGTACCACTTAGGGGCTATTCATGCCCGTGCCACCTCTTGGGTGGCTTAATTTTTATCAATCAATCAATCAATCCCGCTTCCCAGTACAT